CCTCCAGAAAAACGCGATTATGCGATCGCTGAATTCAATGCAAAATCAGCCAAAGTCCGCATATTTATGCGGGGGCCGCATTTTTTCAAATACGCCGCACTTTCGCCGCATAAATTGCCGATTTCCGTGCAAAATATGCGGGGTTTGCATAATTTCATAATCCTCGCATTTTCGTTGAAAAAAAAGTCACATGTATCTTAGCCAGAAAGTTGAAAATGTTGCGTTTTGCTTCACATAAGAGCAGCCATTTCCCCCTGTTTCCATGGGAACGTTATGAAGTGACGCAATTAAGCGACGCCAGACAGACTCACGGAGGCGATTGACATCCCACAAATCGAACTCGTATAACTGTCTGTCGAACTTTCTACTGTCACATTGTTACTTAATAAAACAACATAAGATAAAAGTAGTAGCATCAAACAGAAATTACCCGCACACATGGGGTGTTCGACAGTTCAACAGGAGCGCGCAGCTTTAAAGGGGCCACACCTTATTTACACTCTTACAGTCTGAAATAAAACAAATATTCCCAGCACTTTCTATGATGTAGTATGCTTGTTTATCAAAGGAAGTAATAAGAAATGACTCTTACATTAACAGGATGTTGGGGGAATCACTTTTTTTCTCTTTTTCATCAAACCGCAATTTTTGCAAGTTCCCTCAATTTTTGTAAATTCCAGCAATTTCATCGCATAAAATTGCATAAATATCCCACATATTCCATCGCATTTTTAAAGAAAACTGACCGCATAATCAATCAATTTTTGCCCGCAACAATCACAAAAAAAACTCTGTGTTTTTCTGGAAGGACTGAATACTGTTATGGTAAATGTTAAATATAAATCGCAAATTTTTTCACAAATTTTTGGAAATTACCACCACAAAATCAGTCATTTTGATCGCAAAAATCACCAAAAAAAATCGTGAAATCCTGGAGGGACTGAAAAATACAACAACCGTTCATTTTTCGTTTTGCAATGGCTGTTTGGACATAATCAAGATCGAGTTCTTTATTAAATTCATTTAAAAAAAAGAAACAATAATTACAGGCCTCTCTAAACCTCAAAGAAATGCCATCAAGACATCGAAGCAGAAATAAGGAAGAAACACCAGGAACTCCGTGTCTTTTCCTGCCATTAATGCTTGGTTAA